TTACTAACAACCACGCCAGTGATAGAAATGGAGGCCAGATTCTTCACGGATAATAATGTCAAGGCATACATGCATTATATGCCAAGTCAGGCTAAGGCCCAAACTAATAACTGAAGTAGAAGCATCTTTTCAGATGACCCAAAAAGTGGCCTATACATTCCAGTGTGATGACCTAGGATACTTTCAGAATTTTGTACAGAACGGATTAGATAAAGTGACTGCCTGGTCATCCTTATGGAATCTACAACTTGGTCTGAACAAATGTGGTTATATCCGCCTTAGTGCTTCAACCTGCTAATCTGCAGAGACGCCAAACTGTCGTCGATTTAGGCCCGAGGCAATCTAGTGATCTGGCATTTTCTAAGTAAGTGGCATCGCGGACCCGAAAGTAGAAGATGCTCTTAGAACGCATAATTAGGACTTTTCACAAAAGTGAAGACAATCTCATTCTATGCAAAATATATGTAAAGCCACTATAAGCATACTGTCCACTTATTACTAGAAGCTTTCGCATGTGAGATAATGTAAAGTATCCGACGATATTTCACATCAAAACCACTCGGGTACGATGGTAAGAAAGACTACATTCACGGTGTATGACTGCCAACCTTGACCCATTTTAGCCGAAATGAATCATTCTAAATCTGACACTTTTCTAAAAGGTCTTACACAAAATATCATTCTCAGTCAATAAAGACATACAGTTCTCACCACAGGGCTGTTTCGATCTGTGTGACCGGACATGCACAGTGACAAAAAGCCTCTAACTTATCACTCCGCGAAAACTTGTTCACATTCATGTATTCCAAGATATGGAATAGCTCACCCCTATAAATCAGAGTCTGCACCTTGGTTAAAATTCAAAAACCTTCCTCACGAGAAGTAAATACCCACAAGCAGTAGAAATCCATTAATTAATGCGTCTAAAGCTTATGTATTTTACTCTCAACAATGACATTGCAGATCAAATGAGATAAACAAATCACTGATTTCAAAATAACACATCAATGAACTATAATTCAAGGATTCTGCACACAGCAAAGTATTGTTCGAAAATTGACTTCAAACTTTATTTTTTTCCCAGGTACTTATAACCCATCCACCAAAGACCTGGTTTTTTTGTTTATGTGAAGACAATACTTCTGTATTTCCTGATGTGTTGCACTCACTGACAATTTAGCGGATTTTTCCAACTATGCACAGAAATGATTGTACATAAGTGAAAAGGATGTTTTATACTACTGGGATTAACATTTATCAAGTGTATGTATAATCTCCAGCGTACATGTTAAACATATTTTACCATCGACTGTTAATTGTGACTGAATAATATGGTCCTATTTCTGTAACAATTTGATGATGCCTGTAAACTGGCGTCCCTCATAAACTGTACCATGAGAATAAATTTATTTATACTTATATTTATAAGTTTCAAACGCTCTCTGTACAGCCTATTTGGTTCTACTTATTGCATGAACAAATTATTTATTTCTTGAGGGAACCAAATATTAGGAGACTTGGAAGGTTTAACAAAAGGTACAACTTCATTAATTATTCCGCATAAACGATAATGAGACTAGATGAATAGATGTATAAAAAGACTAAGAAAATACAAAATAAATGTCTACTAGAGAACAACATACACTAAGCATGACTACATTTGTATATATATATCACCTTGTAAACATGAACATATACGTACATGAATATGTATATGTATGTATAACCTTGTATACGTGTATATATATAACCTTGATATAATTGTGGGCAATAAATCGTTCTCGAGACGTCATCAGTAAATATTGCGGTGCAAAACGTCGTGATTTTATCAAAATAAAACTTTTTATCCACAATGGAATGTATATAAACAGACATTAAAGTTTTATTTATACCCACATGGATTTCTTCTGGCGGTTCGCTGCTAGCCTCTTCTCTTCTGCTTGACTTGTAGTGGAAGTTTAGCATACCTGCAATAGAGCTGAAGTTAAACAGCACTTGAAGTTACTTAAGTGCACATACCACATCAATCTTCAAGCTGTGGAGACATGATAACTCAACATCTTTAAAAAACTCCCATGTCAATACATCAGAAGGTTGAAAAAATCCTGAATGAGAAGTATTGATCACCCAAAATAAAGATGCAACTGGCTGCCAAACTGTTAAACCAACTTACGAGTACGGGCTATGATGCAACCACAAATGGCGATATCGCCTAACTTTGAAGAACCATCATCCCAACGGTGCAGTAAAACAAATTTGTCCAGCTATGAAGGACATTCGTCTGCACAGAGTAAAACTCGCTTCTGATGCCCTAAGATTTTGCTGCCAGAGAATTGATGCAGTTGTACTACTCATCTGTCGATGTTCAGGTCTTACTACGCTGGACCTCACACTGTCCCTGGAAGACTTTCAGAAACAATTTTATTAACCAACGCGGAATGCCAGAACACAGATTGGCGACTCGAGAACCGTTTATTCTTGCACCAATACAGAGCCAATCATTAGGTTATTGTACACAACGTCTAACAACAAATGTCATAGCAATAAATCACAATAATTGTGTATGTCCAAACCAAGTTCACTTTTAACGGTTTGAAAAAATTTGGGTATTGGGTATATGATGTTCATTATTATATATGTTATTTTGTATTTCCCAATGAATGAAAAACAAAGCGATATTGTTTTTACTGACGTTTCGCTATTTAATGCTAATAGCTTTCTCAAAGTATTATTAAACCGGAATTTACAAAATCTCAGCATATATATAACAAAGAGTTGGGGGTGAACGATCTTCATTGTTATTTTGACTTTCAGTGTGTCCTTTTAAGTTGAACTAAGTCTGTATTTTTTCTCACCCTATAACTCTTTGTTTATATATGCCTAGATTTTGTAAATTCCGGTTTAATAATACTTTGAGAAAGCTATTAGCATTAAATAGCGAAACGTCAGTAAAAACAATGTCGCTTTGTTTTTCATTCATTGGGAAATACAAAACAACATTTATTATAAATCACAATATTACTTCTGATAGCTTTTCTCTGTCTCCAACGAACAGCGAACGATGAAATGATGACTGCAATACTGATGTCAGCCACGTCTCGTAAACCGTCAATGCCCAGCTCTTGCTGCATTCGGGCTCACGCCGTTCCTTGAAGATTTTCAGAAACGCTTAGTTATAACGGACGAAAAAACCAAAACACCGATTGGCCACTCGAGAATTCTTTATTGTTACACCAACATATAAAAATAATAACTGAACTAAGGTCTGTGAACAAATATTACAATAATAAATCACAAAATTACTTCTGATGGTTTTCTGCTGACTTCTTTCTGAACAGCAACCGATGAGACGATGACTGTCGTATTGATGCCTCCGCGAAAATTGGGGAAGTTGGTTTTGAGCAAACAACCAAGAATTGATCGTTCAATCTTCAACCGCATTGACACTCCCCGGCAAAAACGGATCCATCCCTTTTTTCCTTCACGGCCAATACACGTTGACTTGGATGCCATTGCGAGAACCTGGGTCACACGGACAGAGCTGAAATGGAAAACAAACAGAAAAGCCAACACACAAACAAAATTGTATATATATGCGATTGTACAGCTCAGTGAATAAATTCGCCGAAAAGAGTCTCTTCACTGAACGCCTTCTTTTCTTTTATATGACTGAATGGGGATTTTCAACTTACTTCAACTAAATTGACAAGAGATTTATATCGATCGGCCTGTAATTCTTTACATCATATTTTGAGCCGGATTAAATCCAGGGATAATATATGTCTGCTTTCATTCGGAAGGATAAAGTGCGATCATAAGGGACGTTGAGAATATTTTAAGCAAAAGGAGAGAAAGATCGGAGACACCATTTTTTAGGAAGGATGAGGGAATCGAGTCACGTCCTGGAATATTAGAGAAATTCAATGAATGCATTGCAGTTTTTATAACATCACCGGTCACACATATATTTGACAGTGTTTCATTTGTTATAGAGTCAAATCCGATGCATACAGAAACATTGTGCGTCGGAAGAGTGCTTGTTAGAGTGTTCAGCTGTGTCTGAATCATCCTTGACAGCAACATTGTTATGGAGAATATGAGGAGTTTTACCTCGTTTTTGTTGCAGCCTTCCTCGGAAGAGTTTGCAAAGAGCTAATTTTGCAGTCACTTTTACGGGCAAAAAGGACATCGGTAGTTACTCAATAAATAGCCCACTGTACCAACGGTAGCAGGGAACAACTGATTAGAAGTGGTAGTGAATTATCGCCAGTTAACTTCAGCTTAGTGAAGAGCGATAATGCCGTTGTGACTGCAAATATTGTAAGTAATCCAGAAGCACTCCAAGTATTTTGATTGACATTTTCTGTATATCTCATCCAACCTACAGCGAAACTCATTCGGGATGTGAGATACTAGAGACGAGCCAGGATTGTGAAAACGAAGCAGAAATATTAGAAATGACTGACAGAATGTGTACGAAATATTACAAGGACTCTTTAAGCTGTTATCTAGGAAGAGAAGAGATTCGTTCCTACTGTTATGACGAGTGATCACATGTTAACACTCTGTATCCATTTTAACGAGCTGCATGTCGACTTAGCGTGCTCTAAAACTTACATCTCTCTGCAGTATCGTCTAAAATTTTAAAATACTATGTAACATTACCTGTACGTAGGTAATCACCCCTCATATAATATTGTAAATCAGTCGAATTCTCTGTCCAAGTATGTTCTTGTGGGACCTGCTGATTTACTCGAAGCAAGATTGCATTTGCACTGTATGACTAATCCAAAGCACTATTTCGGCCTTAGGCTGACTATCCTTATTAATCTGCGAAATTTAAACAACCAACTTACAACATTTTTCTAACAGGATTACTAGCAGCTGGTGTAGGTAGATAAAACGGACATCGTCCAAAAGCATCTTCCATGAAGTTTTTTTCGAACAAACCAATTGTTTGTATACGTCATGGTATTTTTAGGTCAAGCCACTTTTCAAATATGAGCACTACAGTACAACAAAACTTTTTTGTGGCAATGATTGATGCAATCAGCTGTCCTCTGAATATAACTTTATTCCTGATATGTGCACTGCTTGTGTATTTGAGTCTTCGGCCACTGTTAAGAAAGAAAAAGACTAAGACAATCCAGGTCCCGAAAATGGGTAAACGTGATTTTACGTTAGAAGAGCTCCAAAAGTTTGACGGCAAGGGTGAGCACAAGCGAATACTGATAGCAGTTAATGGTAAAATATTCGATGTCACCAATAACGGACAGGAGTTCTACGGCAAAGGTAACTGAAATATCATTATGATTTTATCAATAAAGGAGCACCTTATGCAGTTTTCGCTGGCAAAGATGCGTCCAGAGCACTAGCATGTTTCAATCTGGAGACTAAAAATGAGTATGACGATCTCTCAGATCTTACTCCTGATCAGATGAAGACCTTGAGAGAATGGGAACTTCAGTTTTCTGGTATGTTCTATCTTTTTGAATTAGAACCGCTGTTTCAATTATCATTTTACGTATCTTTAAATCAGTAATATTTGAGTATGTACTACCGTCTCCTATACTACATTCCTGAACAGGATATCTTTCGTCCGGTACAGTTTGTATTTGTGTTACTGGTTATCCATGAAGGCGTTACAGTATTTGTTTGAGGCTGACTAAGTGTGTTCCTAATGTGGTTCGAGTGATTTACGCCGGAATCGCGAATATGCAATAATACTTATCTGTTTATCCTGCCATTGGGACATATACTTGACTTTAGTTCAATACAGCATGTCTTGTTATATTATTCAGTTGTTAATAGCTGTGTAACGTAGTTCCATGAACCGTCACACAGAGGCTCAACACGACACAAAATCTGTTTTAGGCAACATGTAATGCAATAATATGTAACTGTATTGTCGTTATGGATATCCATTTGTTTTGATGTGTTTTGTTACTGACCTAAACTTTACACTAGAAAAGATAATAGTGATCCACTACTCAGTTCCTTGCACGATTTTAAGAGATGAATTACGCTGTTTTATAGACATTGTTCATTGGTGCAGCTATATGGCCAAATGTAACTGAGCGAATATTCTGGCACAATTAGAAAGTGAAATAATTGTAGTAAGTACCAAATCAAGGTTCACACTATTCAGAAGTAACTTCAATAATGATAGTATATGAGTAATTGAGACTTCTCAGTTAACTACCCAATGGCTAAATGAATTGAGATTTTTGAAGACTCTTCACGTACGCTGTCAGTTTGAGGGAGGGGAAATCGGTCGACGAGGTTGTAGAGTTACACCGATTGATGTGGTTAAGAAGTGTTGCGCATGCCTAGATATCACCTCCCTCGACAGGCAGTGTTAGCTGACATAAGACATGTTAGGAAAGAGCTAGTGGTGGTTAAACCAAAACATGGCATCGTTCATTGAAATCCACAACAACTAGTTTAGGCCAAGTAAGAAGGTGTGAACTTTCCAGTTGGCGTCCTCGGGATGGTGAAAACCAATGGCTGGAGACTATTAGTGGAATGACTCAAAATCATTCTCAACGGCTCAGATTCATTCACTCTATGTGATTTGTTGTCATATCCAAATTAAACTCTTTTTTTCTTATACATTGCTATTCTGTTTTGCCTCACACTTCTGTTTATTATATCTCTTTTAAATCTGTCTTTACTCTCTCCTCTTGCTTCGTGTGCTACATGGAGGGAGTGTGGCGACTCGAACCGCTGCACATCTGTGCAAAGTTCTATGTTAAAACGAGTCATTCAGAGATTATAAACCAGATAGACAAAGACACATAGAACGGGATAGCGTAGTGAACAGCTACGAAGATGTTTGGGATTTTGATAATGGAGGGTAAAATATTTGAGTCATTATGTGGAGCTTCCAGTCAACTCAATGAAGAATTTGCACCACTGATTCTTTGAGCTTCTAAAAATACCTACTCACTGTACACTCCTTTCCATGGCTTCAACCAGCTATTAATATGTTCTGTTGGTACCACGCATGGGCCTATCCACTCAACTACTTTGGCTAAAGAAGGCGGTGCTGAGTCATGTAGAACATATCACTCGGTCAGTGAAGATTCCCAACTTCATTTATTAACGGATATATCTAATAATGTAATCTTGATACTACTTTCCATTTCTCTGGTAAAAATGGTTAAGGTCCTGTAGCTTTTTATATCTACTTTCAACGGCTGTGTAGCGGCTGTCAGGAGGATAGGGTAAATCATTATACTTGCCATTTAGTGGGTAACTGATGCCCAAATTGATGTGTGCTGGAGTACGTTAATTTTCCGTCACCAAGCTGTCCGTTAGTGCTGGCAACGCTGTAGTTAATTTGTCCAGGCGCTCAAATTCCATCCATGAGGTCACGGATTGAAATCCCTCACCAATTACCGAAATTGCTACTGCCAAGTAGTATCACTAGTCCTAACACTGCTGGTGCTGCTCATTTCCAACTGCGTAGAAATGCAAGTAGTTCTTGGGTAACGTCCCATTTTATCTTCATAGAATCACTTCTGAAAATTGGGAAATCACTAGTGGTTAACACATTAGACTACTTTTCGTTATCCATAAAGTAGCAGTCAGTCCAGACTACTAATATAATACCATGCTGGATCTGATAGGGGTGAACACCTTAATAAGCATACTCAAATATTTCCTCGTGAAGTTCACAAGACTTCGTGTTGTCAGTCATTATCCTAAAGGTCTATATAATTAGTGGCCACATTATAGAAAATCAGTTCACCCTTGAAGTAAATGAAAAGGATGTCAAATAAGTGACGATGGTCCTATCTTTCGGGAATGGTTGTAAATCCGAAGGAACAGATACCTGAGACAATTAACACGAGATCTTTTCGTAAGTTTTTGATTTGGTCTAAACCGTGTTAAATTGGTACTCAGAGAATTCATCATCAGCAAAAAACTCATTTCGTCAAATAAGGGGCAGTTTGAAAAAATATTTTTCTACTTTGGTAAAGACAGCGTTATTTGTAGTATGCTGGCAATCCTGAAAAACATTTACTTCCGTGAAAACTACTACCTAATCATACATTATCATCATAGCATTATTACCTAGTGGTCAAAGTTATCACACCTAAAATATGAAAACTTAGTAAAAGGTAACAGTAAGGAAGACAAAATTGAAGAAATAAAGTTTTCAGTGAACATAAAACGCCTTTTAACAAGGAAAAATGTAGAAGATGAATGGAAAAATGTGGAAACACAATTAGACTCAAGGTAAATTGTTGATTAATCTGCACTTCAAATCTGGGTTGTAGTTATCTCGTAGACTTCGGTGTACGCTTCTTGTCAAACTGTCGCTTAATTGCATAGTGGAATATTAGTTAACCAAGACGATTTTAACTTTTCTTGTCCCAACAACATTCAGATGGAGTTAATCAAAACTCGTTTCGTTTCTGCGTTTGTTTGTACTTGTAGGATTTCTTTGTAATGAAAGACTAAATCATTTTGTCTTTTGTACCCGGATCCTATCTGCATTATCTGAAATTTTATTGAAATATCTTCTGCAGACGGAAATATGTGAAGTAGAATCCAAAGTTTGAAATAACTGTTCAACTGTGAAATGCTAAAACCACAGCTCCACTGGAGAGGGAATGCTTTTCGTGAACGATATGATACTATCCAAATTCATAAAACATCAGTTTCAGTGCATTTCTCATCATAATGTTTTCCGTCCTATTGTATTTTTTAACGACTTATTTGCCCTAGTTCGTAGTTTGATAAATGAAATTAATGATGTACTGAAAATATATCTGCACAGTTATTGCCTCGATGATTATTATGTATGGAGGTCAGGCGATGCCCATTACTGTTCACTGTCATTTTTCAGGAAAACAAATATATAACATAATTTTCTTATAATTTAGAGCGTTATGATCATATTGGACGACTTTTAAAACCTGGAGAACCACATCGAGTTTATGAGATTAATGATGGAGAAGATGAAGTTGGCGGTACAAATCATATTGTCCAACGGAGTTGCAAGGAGAAAATAACCTGATAAACGTTACACTAACTTCTTCCAAGTATTTTGTGTATTTATGTAAGCACACCATTGCCCTCTATTTAAAGTGGACGGTCATTACCAACCGTCCATATTTGCGTTCCTAAACATAATGATTTCAGTCTTTTGGTTTTCGCTTTGTGCAATATATTGATGCTACTAAGTAATGAATTCTTGTACACAAATCTGTATATGCTGATGTGAATCTCTTTAAAATTTCGGCTATTTAGCGGTTTTTATTTCTGGACATTTGTTTGCTTTCATTACTACAAATGATTTGTAGAACGTTTATATCCGACCAGGTTGCTGATATCTGTTCACATTGTAAATATTTGTAATGTTTTTAAAAAATTCTTGCTCTAGTTTATTTTTTTTTGATGTTTGTATTTTGGCCACAAATTCTTTTTTGTTTAACGCTAAATGGTTAAAACGTTTCTTTTTGGCATGTAAACCTGTATTTGGCAGGTGAATGTTGATAATGTGCACTAGATTAGTGGTAGGAATGTACTCTGCAGTTAAGGCAGTTAAAACTTACAGTTGAAGTAGTACACTCAATTTTATTTAGGTAGTCCAGAAAACGATGTATTTTGCCAGTGTCTCCGTCTAACAAACTGTCTCCTGTGGGGTTCTTCCAGGTACCACATCTCTTCTGGATTGGACGCAGCAAAATAGTTGCCTACATCAGTACTTCTCTAATAAAACTTAATAAAATGCCATCGGATATTATTGGTTATCGTCATGCCGAGTAATAATTATTTTTAAGCTCTCGCTTGTCTTTATTTATTGTTGTAGGGGCTCTCATTTTTCAGGAACTACTAAATGTTGAGAATACATTTTGAAAATCGAAATAAATTCCCGGCGGTTTCTAATATTATGCGAGTTGTATTATGCAGTCTGAAGGGGAATACCTTTTGCTGTTTAACACCTCTATAGTTTTTTAATACATAGACATTAGGTTTCTCTGTATTTCAGATGTTAGTTTCACCTTCGATATAGGTTTCGTTGGTCTCAACTGTAAGTAGGAAATTCATCTTTATTGATATCAAATAGTCACGTGCGATACTTGCTGTCTGTTTACTAGAGCTTGACTCAAATGAGACAATCGGATCGCTTCACGTTTCGGACAGTGTTCTTTCTAACTTAGCATGAATATCATATATATATATATATATATATATATATATATATATATATATCATCACATTAATGAGCCTTGAGTGTTGCATTTTTCAAGTATTCATTAATAATATATTCATAAAGTCACAGTGTATGTTTCCAATCCTCACATTATACTAATATCAAGAAACCTCACATGGAAAGTACCTGTGTAATATAAGTTAAGAAGACTGGTCAGCAAATAAGCAATTTTTTCTTAAGCATACACCGAATAATCAGAACATTACTATATATGGGCAATAAATTTTCATTAATGTAAATGACATGCAAATGTATATGCTTTGAATACCACTCAAAAAAGAAATTAGAATCATCCCCTTAATTGGAGATGTAACAAAAAGCATACAAATAGTTAATAGAGATATTTTAACTAGACGATTTGCCGGGTTGTTAGAGAAGAGTCATGATGACAAAACTCACTTACTTACTTAAGATTACTGTCTGTACAAAGTTTGCCATTTTTCAAGAAAAGCAACCTTCTCTTGTTTACAAGAAAGATGTCAGCGAATTCCCCTCCAGTGACTTCATTTTATACATTATTCTGGAGGGAATTTCCATGGATCTTCAATAACTAGAAAGAAAAAAACTCAGGATTACAACTACTAATTAACCTATCAGTTTTTTCTGGTTTCTACATTTGAACTACTTTATTTCATTTAGAAAGTTGTTTAATCTTTAGTAAGTGACGTGTTAACTTTAATGATTAAATATGACTTGTCGTATGCGTCTAAGCAGATGAGTTTTTGACGAGCCGATAAAAAAGTTATCAGGATTTATAAATTCTTATGTAATGAGGTACAAAAAAAACAAAGTACAAGTGTAATATACCACTGTAATTAGTTTGCAAAGATAAATCACGTGTTGAAACAGTGAACTAGTTATTGTAGTAATTTCATTCAAAATACTAAATAAGCGACTTGGATTGACTGCAGACATTCATATCACATTACATG